CTGTCAGAGGGCTTTTAACGCCGACCCAGCTCCATTTTTCTCCGAAGCTAAGGGCTGGCGGCTTCTCTGATAGACGTCGAGCCCTTTCTGCATTAGATAATTCCGCGTCTGTGGGGGGTATCTGGGAAAAAGGGCAGCATCCCTCAGTGCACCCTATTAGACCGAGGAAATAGCACCATTCGTCGTGAGTGTAATGTTTTGGCGGGTCGCATGAGAGATCATTGTAAATCTTCCCAAGCTCATGTACTATTGCACACCATCTTTGAGAAGACAGTCCTCCATCCTGATATTCCGGGTGTTGTGGGGTCAAGTTCTCTATCGAAGCTGAGTGGTATGTGTGAGGATGATCACTGATAGGCTGCCCGTTAATATACTCCGTGCGGCGTCCACGATGGCGCAGAGATTCAACCATGCTATGTATGAAGGAGAACAGCCTATTTTTGATACCAGTCTCGTGGGGGAATAGAGTTAAATCTCCTGCAAAAATTGTGGCATCGTGGAATAGTTTTGCAACAGTATCACCCATACTTGAGATTAGGATGGTGGTGGTCGGCACAGCGAGAAGTGACCATAGAACAAAGAATGGTTTCCCCCATGACTGGCCAAGGACAACATCACCATAGCCAATTGTCAGGAGATTCACGTAGGCGAAGTATAGAGAGGTGAAATATGTCCAGCCAGCATCTCGTTCTGCCAACCAGAATGCAACCGACCCAACCAGCCAAAGTACTGCCCATGCGAAAGCTGAAATTAGGAGAGAAAGCCACCGCAGCTGCCAGGCACAGGTCTTGTGTATTCGGTGCATCAACTGGAACTCTTCTTGTTGCAATTCTTTGTCTGACAATGAGTTATCCTGGTTCGCCAGCGATTGAAGCATTCGCTTCTTTATATCTCCAGATTGTAGCTGCTCGGTAACCAGTTTCCTCGTCTTTTCAGTTGTCCTTGCAGTAAGTTGTGTCCTCGCTCTTTCAATCATCAACGACCGGATAGACATAACAACAAGACCAAGAGTTAGAATTCCTCCAACAGCAAATGGGAACAGAAGGCTTCGACCAAGGTGTGTCGCTGGAGCAAGATCCCCGATTCCATTGGTAAGAAGGGTAAAATCGGACCAGTACAGGGCATCCAGATAGCTCCAGTTCTCAACGCGAGAAAATATGGCCGCACCGATCAGGAGGTACATCATGTAGAGAATTGTCTGCAGCATTAGCGACCGCTGGCTGGTGGTGAGGTGGAAATGTTTGCTGTAGCGTCCAGTGTTCGCGCCATAGACGGTAACCAGTAGGAGAGAGGAGACGAAGAAGTAGATGGCAGCCGCCATGATGGCATAGTAGTAGGCCTGGGTCAGCTGTCTACCATGCAAGTCCGTCACCCGAGGCACCGCGACGGTGAGACCAATTAGAAGGGCCGATGCAATATACCAGCCGCCAATAGTTATAGGCTGGCTGACGGAGAACCGGACTCTTCGAGCCATATTCAGCAGAAGGGACAAATTTGATATCAAGGCAAAGCAGAGGGAGACGGAGTTAATCGTGATCGCCCTAGAGCAGGAGCTTTAGCATGAGAACAACTCTCTGTTTAAAGGATCCTGACTCAGATTAAGCGAGTGATGAACAACCATGACGGATCTTTGACGGTCTTTGGAAGGTTTCCGGTTGCAACGGTTCCCACCTCTGCCCTCCAGTTCTGGGAGAGTGAGCAGATGCTGAATGCATTTGCCATAGGGCCCAGAGTTCCCTAGCCACAGTCAGCTTCAGCTAAACGAGAGCCATCAAGGCAACGGAAATAACACAGACTCACTGCTAGTAGGGGAAATGCCGTGCTGGCAAACCACCATCTCGTCGGCAGAAGACAGGGCACCTCGTCGACGCTGGGGTTGGGCGCCTTGCCCTTGCCGCGCCCATCCATGTCTACAGCCGCAGCCGCAGGTTCGCTCGTCTCACGCGCTAAGTTCGTTGCACAGCAGGGCACTCTGCATATGCAGCACTCCTTCTGGCTATTTACGAATGGTGGACAAGCTGGGAGCCCTCCAGCTGTCCCGAGAGCAAAGTGTGAACGGCGGACGTCTGCGTGTTGACATGAAGTGAGGTGCAATTTAGCATATCCTTAGCGGTGGAGCAACACGGGATCTTTTAAGCTTGTTTAGCCTTTCTGGGAAGTGAACCAACTAGTTAGCTAGCTAGTCAAGCAATTGACGAGCCGGCTAGCTTAAGACAACTAACTAGTAAACGCAGTAACAAATTAAACGCCGCGACGACGTCAGGCGAAAGGAAAAAGACAGCATCAGGTTCATCGGCAGTTTCATCCTCCACTCCATTGACTATCGGCCAGGCGGCCCTATACCCTAGATGTGTGTATATACAGAGCCTAGCACTTCAGGCGGAAAAAGAGCTTATCGTTCTCGACAATCTCCTCCTCGTTCGACATGAGCTCTGGCATGTTCCAGATCATGTTCACGTATCGACCACCGAGCCACTCACGCTTCTCTGACGTTATGTAGGTGAGGGCATCGCCGCTGAGCTCGGGGGTTTCCGTGAATACTACGCGATGACAGCCGAGTCAGCTAGTTATGCATAGGCCTCGAAGGGGAGGGGGGATGGGGGCTTGGTCTGGGGCGTGGGGCTTACCGTGCTTGAGCTCAGGTGGCATTTTGTCGAATATCCCGCGGACCAGCTTGGTGAAGACGTTCCCAGGATGGATGCTGATACAAGTGATGCCCTGCTCCGCGTATTCTGCATTGATGCACTCCGCCAACCGAATGACGCCCAGCTTCGAAATATGGTATGAACTGACGCCAGGGATGGCAAAGTGAGCGCAGACGCTGCCAACCAAGATGAGATACCGAGCATCTCCGCCCTTTGCCAGCAGTGGAAGAAACGACCGGGCGACGAGGTAGGACCCGTAAAGGTTTATCTGGAACATGTCCCACCACTCAGCCGTATCTGTTTCTGCTACCTTGCCGAGGATGCCAGCTACTCCAGCGTAGTTGATGACCACGTCACAGCATTTGAACTCCTCCTCTACTCGGGCGGCTGCCGCTGCCACGCTGTTTTCATCCTTCACGTCTATGTGCAGGGGCAGGACCGTTGGTTTGTGTCGACCAGCAGATTCCGCTGCAGCTTCAACGTCCTTGCAAACCTGGGTCAGGTCGGTGCGGGCGGCGAGGGCAATCTTAGATGCACCAGCTTTGGCAAAAGACAAGGCTGCGGCTCGGCCAAGAGCCCCCGAAGCGCCAGTAATGAAAATTACTTTGCCTGTAAAGTCTTGCAGTTTCGGGTCGATATCGGGATATGTGTCGCCATTTACGTCGCTGGTTATGATATAGTCCCCTAGACATAATTATTAGGAGACAAGAGCCAACACGGAACCAAGGGCGCTAACTAACTAGCGCTATGTGGAATGTTAGAGCTTACCGGGATCCTCAACAGGGTTCGGGATATCCTTTGGCGGCGGCATGATGGTATATATTCCTGAAGTACTCCGTAAGTATGCTCTATATAACTGATGGGTATACGGTATAGGGTATGCGGAGTATATATAGCTTTTCGATTGTGAAGCTCATTTTTTTTTTATCTGGCAGCAGGGCGAAGAAGGTCTGGCTATTTATGTCGTTCCGGTCCAGCTAACTCTTCTCTATAGACTTCCCCGGCAAGCTTTATAAGGCTCTTTTTTCTTGTTTACCAAGCCACAAGGACACAACGGAGATGAGGACCCTTGTATGTCCTACTAACTGGTTACAGTTAGAATGAATAGTCAACGACTGCTTATATCTTGTTTACAGTCAACTGGGTTGGGGCTTCCGGTGCATATTCCTATTTGACAACCGCAGTAACTCAGGCTCATGGAGGCCCACAGCTTGACATCGAGGGGCTTCTTTAAAGAGGCGCTCTTAAAGGAGGGCATGTCAGTGCAGTAGTCAATCAAGCAGATCGAACAATGATGGATTGTCGCTGCATTAATTAGCTAGACAAAAGCTCGCATATTGATTGAGCGCTGCAACCCTGTGGCGCTTTCGTCCTGAGCCTTGGGATTGATCGCGGTACGGAGTAACAAAGTCCTACGTTACAAGTCTGGCCCCTGTAAGTATTTTGTATGGAGTATTCCGTACGGTATCAATCAAATATCATTTTCCTTTTTGTCCCCAGCTGAGGACGGCGGATATAGCCTGTTTCCACCGCTGTCGAGGCTAGATAGTGGGCTGCCATGGCGTTCATGGGCGCATCGCTAGTTAATTAGTTCGGTTATATGGAGAAAGCGTAAACTAGTTAACTACTCCGTAACAGAAGAAATAACCCAAGGACATGCAACCTGCCATCGAGCAGTTATCCGAGGAGACCCGGTAGAGGTTAGTAAATCAAGGTATAATAAAAGAGTGAGACTTAGGTAGAAAAATAGTATATACAACAAAGGAACTAGTTAACGACAGCAAGGTAATAATACCAAGATGGATTTGACGGAAAAATGAACAATGAAAAAACAAATATACAATGTTGACAGCTTGAGGAGAGGAGAAAGAAAAAGAAAGAAACACATCCGAAGCCAATGACATACATGCCCTCTGTACTCGTGCTAATTCAGCGCGGGGGGTCCTCCTGAATCCGCTTACTCCGTACGGGTCCGCCCACTGACCCAATCCGTCGCCATGTTATCTCAAATATGCCTGAGGTTTAGGGAAGGCGGGCTAATTTTGGTATCCGGAGTGATAACCGGCGTATGACATGCGAACAACGCGGGAGTTCCCTGCACTCAAAGCACCCTTTACTGTCGAAGTGAAGTTGCTATTGGCCCAAGCCTGGCTGGCGTCCCACATCATGACTCCGCCAAAGCTGGAGAAGGTTTTACTCCAGTTGATGATGTTGACGAGGGTTTGAGCCTCGACATATCCGGAGCTCGCGGCCCCCTTGTTTGCAGGAGCGCCAACCATGATTTTGACCTTTGGGTTTGCAGACACCTTTTTAGCGAAGTTGTCCCATTCCGCGAAGTTAAACTTGTCTTGTGACTGGGAGCCGAGGACGAAGTTGTTAAGGCCACAGAAATTGTTGTAGAACTGAATGAAAAGGGCATCGAATTTGACGCCTCCTTCCAGCATCTCCTTGTTAGCGAGATCCGGGTAAGGGCATTGAGGAGCAGCAGTCAGATAGAAGGTCCTCGATTTTTCAGCATCATACAAAGTGCGAAGCTGCTTGGCAAAAGGGACCATGTTCAATACAATAGCTTCAAAGTCGAGGTCAAACCCATCGATCACTGCATCATCAAACGGGCGAAGAACTGAGGAGTTTGACGACTTTACTGGCCCAAACGTATCCCACAAGAGGTTGGCGCCAGCGACGGCATCCTCGGCAGAACGGAAGCCACCTTCACTGTATGTCGCTCCGCCAATAGATAGAAGAATAGTCTTTCCTTTCTTCTGGCAGGTCTTGATATCCTCGCTATGTTTCTGATTAGCCTGCATACCCCTTTGATATGTGTCAACTGTATAAAGAGGATGCTATACCCAATTTGTGGACAGTGCAGAAGGTCTGTTCCCGGGAATGGCTTGCAAGGGTCACCCTGGTTGGAGAAGTTGATTTGTGGGACTCCTCCCGGACCCTTAATCGAGATGGCAAAGGCAAGCGGAATTACCTTTAGTCCATTATTAGTTAGCAAACAGGCACAAAGTATGGAGTCGTTGGTCGCAGCCGCGTCAATAGGGTGTGTCCGGTAGACATACGTCAACATCCGCGCCTGTTATCCTCTGTTAGCGAGTGTTTAAGTTTAATAAAGCGACAGCAACTAGAAGTAAGAGGATAACTTGCTTTCGCAGTAGTAACTCAATCGTTGTTGCGCTTGTGTTCCATTTCCTTGATTCAAGGAATTCTGTCCTAACCACGAACAGTCGCATCAGTATGTTGCTGTGCAAATGAAATAGAAAAATCTAGCCTATATTTCCGGCGATAGTTACAAACCCCAGTATATAGCGACATTGTTATGGCCTGGAGAATCCAGACCGGCATATGCCGTCTTGACACCTGCAAACAGGGCCGCAAAGGAGAGGATATTCTTCACGGAAGGCATTGAAGAAGGAGTGTTAACAAAAACCTAGCCAGCAGGTAGGACGATGAGTGTCAAGGCGATGTACTAAGATAAGCTGTTGGATTTCTAGTACGAAATTGAGAACGCTGAGATGGGGCTGTGTTATATATTTCGATCATATCCATGATGGCCATGGCAAACGCGAGGCCATGTGCCATGGTTCACCGAGTTAGGGGTGTATGAACGGCGAACCAAGCATTAAAGATGACCCCTGAGGATGATATTATTTCTACTGAGGTCATCAAAGCCAGAGTAACTCTATTGGCGGTAAAATGACGTGGGGGGAAAGAGAACGGCTTTTGCCATGAGCTGGGAGAAAAATAGGTAGATAGCCATTAGAAACAAGTCCACTGACCGTCAAACGGTGAAGTGGTTGGAGTGGGATATCACATCTTCGGAAATTTCTGTGGAGACGAGAAATGCTCCTTGAGGTGGGAAACAAACGACGAACGATGGCATATGTGGATGGTATGTCTGATGAGCCCTTCGACATCCATTCCTTCAACTACCCAAGAGGTGAAGATGTCTGGTCATTTAGGGAAGTTATACACCCTCATGGAGCGGTGTATGCCTTGCAAAGGGCAGAAGAAGACGGGGGAGATCTCATTGATCTGCCATCACGAAGAAGCCAGGGTCAACGGATGACACCATTCTCAGACTTAAGAGGCAACTTTTCATAGCAGAAAGGGGCCTCATGGAGGACGGTTGGTATAGCGTGAGCGGGAGTAACATGATAGCGAAAGCATCAGCCCTCGATATATCGTATCATGCGAATAGGCCGGGTATACATGGGGGGTTGCTGCCGGGCCAATTCGAAGTCGAGGAAACATCTGCTTCCAACGGTGTAACCACAGCCATCGTCAGATGTGCACACGGCAGCTGCAGTGACATGCTAGAAACATGCCGACCTGGGCGTCAGGTTCTGCGGCGCTGCGGGATCCCGGTGTGGCGGCGGACAAGCGGGATGCCACCCTACGTCAACCCCAGAATCTCACGTTTCATCTCTCCTCGTCATCCAGAAGTTCGTCTTTCTCTGCTCCTGACGTGCTATTGGTTCATCCTCCACGGCCTGCTCTTTTTCTCCTGTTGGTGTCGCTTTTTTTTATGATGTTTTTTTGTTCGTTGTCGCTTTTTTACCTTTTAAGGTTTGACTATTTTAGTCTTTTGACCGAGTCATGTGTTGCTGACTAAGATAATATCACGTGCACACTCTTTTTCTAACATCGTCTTTAGTTCTTGATAGAAACAACAGTCGAAGACGAAGTGAAAGAGGAAGAAGAAGAAGAAGATATCTGATAACAATGAGGTTTATTGGTCTGTCTTCGGCTGTCTCTACATCATGATATGTTATGGGATGGCAAACGGATAGCCAAGAAAGGAAAGGAGAGTGAAAGAAACCATGGATAGCAGCAGATGCGTCCCTTTACTGAGCAAGAATACTGCGTCCACCATCTGCCGTTATCCGTTTGCGAACCTTCATCTTGAAGTAAGATGAGCCCTGCTCGGCCATGATGGACTGAGCAGCTCGATGGGTTGAGGGATCGCCCCCTAGCTCTGCGTTATCTCCGTGGCTGACGTCCAATATGGCATTGGGACAGAACACCAAGGCCTCTCCTGTTCCCAGGCCAACAATACGGGAAAATAGGCTCCCGGTACTGTACTTAGAGGCACGAGATGCGCTGACATCCATAATGGCTCCTGCAAGATGCCCTTCTAATGCGTTGAACCAGGCCGGAGAGCTGAACCGGTGCACAACCGTAAGATTGCACAGGTCTAGGAGGTTCGGGGACAACGTTGGCTCCTGAGTTGCAATGATAACTCTTGTGGCAAGATGGCGCTGTTGCCTAATTAGAGATAGCATAGTTTCTGTCAAAGTCACTGCCTCGCGGCTCTTGGTTGTCAGATACTATTCGTCCATGTCAGCCAGTGTCCCATCTATGGTCTGAAAGGTAGGGCAGAAATATGTGGGTTGACGTACTTTATGAGCCTCGTCAAGGGCAATCACACGGCCTCCTTTTCCACGGCCCTCAAGGAATATACCTATGCAGATATCAAACAATGCACACGCGTCGTTCTCGTCCACAAACGGGCAGCTCAAGTCGATGATGGTTAGGCTGCCCTTCTCAAAGTTCCAGATATCACCTTTACGAGATGCAGGTTTGCCTTTGCCTTTCTTACTGAGTCTAACTTCGAGAAAAGAGCGGAGAAGGTCTAGACGCATGTTAAGCGCCGTACATTGGCCTCTTAGCGTTGATTTCTCTCGGACTCTTGTTTCAAAGTCCTGAAAATCAATGCCTCGCTGGCCATTGGACTCCTTCGCCATATCTCGAAGAATCTTGGTCACCATCTTAGGTAGGTAAGTTAGCAGGTATCCCTAACCCAGGGTTCTGGGGAATGATAGCCTACCTCCATGTACAATGGTGTGCCTTCTGAATCGCTAATAGCCATCAATGATTTCATCATTCCAATACTAAGGTGGTCTTCATTGAAGAGCATCGGCTCCACTTCTGGCCTGGGACAACCACTGGGCAAACCCGGCAGGTTTGAATACAGTTGGGTCATTCGTCGCAGATTGCTCGGCGATACCAAAACTCGTACTGGTATACCTGCAGAACACAGATATGCTGCTTCGCAAAGCTGACCCGTGTCCAAACTGGTGAACTTGTCGTAGTGAAGGACTAGGCTAGTTAACTGGGACGAGACCTTGCCTGTCTGTGATGGTAGCAACAACGAATTCTCCAGCATACAGGAAAGTGTATGACTTTTGCCGCTGCCCTGACTTCCGCAAATGAACGTTGACCAGGGAGCGTTGATGTTGGCGTATACCAAATTTTTCTTTGCTCCTCCAATACCAGCAATTTCTTCGTCACTACCGGGCGTGTAGCTGGCGAGCCGGAGCCCGAGCAAACCGTACTGAGGAAACAATGAATCCATCGTGTTAGCACCTGGGAAAGCAGAGTGAACGACACCCTTGATTTGAGAGGAAAACAATGGAGTTGTTTTCATTTGCTCGATCAAAGGGTTGACAGAAGGATTTTCCTTAGCCTGGCCAAGTTCGACAAGCTTCAGGTGCTCTGCCAGTTCCCCCTGAATGTGCGTATCTTCAAGGTCGGAAGTGATGGACTCTGTTTTGGATTCCGGCTTGTCCTTGGGATCAGGTTTTGATTCAGTCGCTGATTGTGTTTTTGACCTAGCTTCTGACCTGGTTCCAGCTTCCATGATGTCTATTCCACATTCCATTTCGCGCTTGGTGTCTGTTTCGGCTTCTTGACCGATATCTGATTTGGACGTAGCTTCTGATCTGGCCTCTTGAGAGATATAAGTCAAGTCCTCCAGATATTGCTTCTTCTAAAGATGGCCTGCTTTTTTGCTCTTACCATGTATCTGAATCGCATATTTAATCATCCTGTGAAGCTATTAGAAATCTCCAGTTAGCATGGCACATCTACCAATATATAATATACAGCCCTTAAAGCCTAAGCGGCAATCTTACCATTTTGCTCCCAGCTGCCACTTATCTGTGGACTGCAGCATTAGTTGGACTATTTGAGAAAGGATGATGATCAAAGGTAAAAGACAGAAGGATATATATATTGACAGAAGAAGCATTTAAAATTATAGATAAAAGTGAAAATACCTCCTTAATTCGCATCACATCCAATTTGCGTATTTAAATGTATAAAGGGCACTTACCACAATATTTGAAAAGATTGTATCTAAAGTAAGAATATATGCATAGTGTTAGATACAAGATGCCAAAATTGATGACTTAACAAGGTCATTCATATCCGTTATACCCTCTTATGGCCAGTGTACAGATTCTGGCAACCTTTATTAACCTAGAAACTCCAAACACCTAGTTCCAGTCCTGTTCAAAGAAGCCATCAAGACAATGGCTGTTGAAGGTAAAAATGAAAATAACGTGAAGAGAAGAATAATGAGTAGGTGAGAAAGAGAAGAAGAGAAGAAGAGGCATACACATAGTGTCAACATACATACACAACAAGAAGAATGTACAGGTGAAGGCAATGGTTCAAAAGAGAAAGAAAGAGGTGTTAATAATGAATACTTTAAGGCCCTGGAACGCATGAAATATGGATAACAAGAGAATAGAGAGAAGCAAAGTATTGAACCCAAGACCAGCTGTTTGTTTAGCTGCGCGTGTAGACTGGTGGTATAGCAGGCATCGATGGCATTGCCGGGACTTGCGGCATCCTGCCACCGCGTCTTGCAGAGTTGGACCGGCCTACATCAGTGGAAAGCTGGAAGTCAGGGTTATTGACCAGAAGCGCCTCACGTTGCTTCTGCACCTTTTCTCGGGGGTTGTCCCACTCTGGCGGCTGCCACTTGGGGTTGATTCCGCGCTGGGAGATGGAGGTGAAGTGGCTAATGTCACTGACTGGAGAGCGCATGCCATGCACGGCATCGACAGAAGTCCTCTGGTCAGGTTCCGGGGCAATGCTGCCCGGGGTTAGGGCAGACGGTATAAAGGCGGGATCGGGATTTGAGGTGTTCGTGAAGCGAGTCTCTACGTCTTCGTAGTAAGTGTTGGTAGGGTGAGGAGCAGCCCTGGGAGGGGATCGGGTCATATCTCTGGGTTGTGCATTGTTAGCACCAAGGGGGCTTGGGGAGCCGCGAGCGTCGATGGGGGAGAGCGGCTGATCATTCTTGGTCCAGCCACTTCTCGCTGGAATAAATGCGCTGGGATGATCGACAAAGTCAGCAAAAAAAGGAGATCTCATGTTTGTTTTTGTGTGTTTTGTTTTTGTTTTGGTTCCGCTGGAGGAAGAAGGGGTGCCAAAAAAAGGCGAGTTTCCGTCTTTTATACATACGAGAGGTTGGAGATTTCCGACTGGGTGATGGTTGAAGTGTATGCATCCCCTCGTGAACGTTCCATTTCTATGTCCCGGCCGCCCAAACCGCCAGCAGCCGGGGCAGCTCCGTACATGGCGTCGTCGTCTCTGCGCGGACGGCGCGCCGGACCAGGACTAGGCCCGCCTCGTCTGCTACGGCCTGAACGAGATCTGTTAGGATAAGGACCGTGGTCGCCTGGACCGGGGGGATAGTCTCGTCCCCGCGAAGGGTTCCTTTCCGGGCGATAGCCAGGTGGAGGAGGGTCTCGATACGGATGGCCCCTGCCAGCTCTGTCGCCTCTACCACCCCGGCCGTCTCTCCTCATGGATGGGTTGCTTCTGCTACGACTGCCGTATCCATGGTTAGGGTCTCCATAATAGTTGTTGCCCATGGTATTTTTAGATGGCCGTCTTCGCGGCGGGACGAAATGGCCATAAGGTCCGTCCTGGTTTGCAGGGGTCTCTGGCGGCTCCAAGGTTCCTACGTCAGTCTCGCTGGAAGCCCAGAACCGCTCGTTGCTGGTGGGAGGAGCGCGAGGGCGCATCCGTCTGCTATCGACGTCTCGAGGCCGAGGGTCAGACTCAAACCGCGCGAAGGTGGCAACGGTCTCTGCGGTTGGAACGGTGGACAAGGCGTCCTCTTTGGCCTCGACATTGACGGTGGACGGCGGATCCATCTTGTAGGAGTTCTGGCGGTTGTAGAAGTTCTCGCCGTTCATCTCCGCGTTCTCAGCGATACGGCGCTTCCGAGCCTTGCGGCTGACGAGGGTGCGGCGCATCGCACAGGTGAGGATGCCGCAGGTGGTGAGGATGACCGTAGCGGCGAGGACGATCCAGCCGCCCCATTTGAGATGGGGTACGAAGAGGAGGATGTCGACGAGAAAGGCGAGCAGGGAGACCAGCAGCGTGGGCAGCAGCAGGATGAGCAGGCCCAGCAGGTAGCGCGGGGAGTGCGAGGGAGCATGGAGGTGAGCAGCGGCCGCCAGGCCAAAGCAGACGAGGGTCAGAAAGGCGGCGATAGGATGAACGATCAGGAGCGAAGAGAGCGTATGGCGGATCGATGCCGGCAGGTTGAAGTCACCGTCTGCGTTGGGGTCTCCAAAGGCGCCGTCCCTCGCATCTACATCGACGGTTTTAACATTAGCCATGCTGTCTATTGGTCACAAACGTATAACGACCTTACCGTCCTTGTAGCCTATGGTGAAGGCGCTGCATCTGTTCCTGCGACACCAGCCAAAGACGCCAAAGGTGATGTCGTTGTACGTGGCCAGCGGGATGCCCTTGATGATCGGGGTCGAGAGGACGGAGAGCAGCAGCAGGGCGAAGGCAGCAAACAGCAGGACGGACAGCGGCGTTGCTGGTTTCAGCAGCATTCTGGCGGGACAGACGGCGGCCCCAGGAGCATCGCCGGGCGGTAGTTATCTGGTTATTTTCACGCTGTTCGAGAGAAAGAAAGGCGAGAGAGCGAGAGAGCGAGAGCGGGAGTGGTATGATGATGCGTCTAAGGGTCTAATACGGGCTGCGGCCGGAGGAGTAACTGTACTAAGGGGAGGGAGGAGGAGCTGGCAAGGGTTCCAAGTGCTTGAAGACCCGGTATAGCGGCCAACTCGGGCGAGCGCATCGATAGGAAGATCGTCAACGGCCGGGGGAACGAAAGGAGCTGAGGACGGCGAAGGCGACGGCGACGGCAAAGGCGAAGGATAAGAAGGAGATCGAGAGAGAAGAGAAGGACGGCGCCAGATGAGGATGAGCAGTGTGAGAAGGGAGTAATAATAAGTTAAGGGTCCAGGGATCCCCCGGGGGGGGCCAGGTCAGGCAGGCCGTCAGTGAGACATGGAAACAAACCGGCGCGTTCGACGGGGGCCACAGAGGAGGGTCCTGGCCGCTAGGATGGCATGTTAATTAACCTGCTGCAGGGCCAGGCACAGTGCAGAGAGTCGCAGGCAGCTTTGTTGCGTTGCTGTCGTTTAATATTAAAAAGAACGAAGCCTTTGCGGGCGGAGAGAAAAAGACGATGAGACGTTGGAGGAGCACTTTTTATCGGGGTGGACGCAGGGGTGGGCTGAGTCAGCAGAGGGAGTGCTAGGCGGAGCCCCGTTATACTGAGGCATGAGGTTGAAACATGCTCGCTTACTAAGACATAGATGAGACGCTTTACGGGCTAAAAAGGCTAATAAGGGACGAGGAGGTGGAAGAAAAGCGGACGAAGAGGCAGAAGACATGATTAAGACAGTGGCTAGAAGGTAATATACATGAGGGAACAAGCGCCAGCTCGTTACCCAGAGATAAGGACCCAGAGAAGGAAGAATATCTGTGGCAGTCAGCACATCTATATATACATATATATATACAGGAGTATTGATAGTGGGAGATAGGTACATACCATGAGGACGCCGAACATTTTGGCGATCAACCAGCGGTTGCCGGAGACACGCGACCAGTACTTCATCAGCTCGCGCTGGGCGCCCTGGACGTTGTCGACGACGTCTTCGGTGTTGGCGTCGATGCGCTGGATCATCTCGGACTGCTCGCTGACCATGGTCGCCAGCTGGCCGAAGATGCCGCCCAGCTCGTTGATGGTGCGCTCGATGGCCTCGATGGCCTCGCCGCGCGCGTGGATGTAGGTGTTGGAAGGCTGGGCTTCCTCCATCATCAGCAGCTGCTGGTCGGAGTGCATCGCCCCCAGCCCGGACGAGGCACCCGTCCCGTTCGACGATGGGTCCAGGGTGAGCAGGTCCGCCGAGCCAGGGCGGTAGCCTGGCTGCGGGCTCCGGCTGCGAGACAGGCTGCTGCCGCTTTTGGCGTTGTTGATGTTGCTGTTACTACCGCTATTATACAGCGGGGAGTCGGAGCGCTGGGGTTCTAGGGCGTGTGATCTCGATGAAATAGTGGAGACAAAGTTCTCTGTCCGTGACCGGGAGGCCTGGATGTTCTTCGTCCGCACCTCCAGCACGTCTTTGAAGTTGGCTCCCACGTCCGCCAGTCTCCCTTGCAGCAGCACAACGACCTAGCAGGTAGAAGTTAGCATCAGAGTCATATTGACAGTCGAAAAGGGAAAAAAAAAAAAAAAAAAGAAGTCCGTAGATGTACAAGCACATACATTGTCATTGTGTTCTCCCTCGTGGTCTGTCTTGCTCCGTGACGACTTCGGGTGCTGGGCCAGCGTAAGGGACTGTAGGGAGGCGATCTGGGAGTTCAGCGAGGAGAGATCCTGCTTGATCACATACGTCAACTCGGATATCTCGACCGGTCTGTCGTCGAACAGCGATTTCCGCTTAGCCACTGCGCCACTGTCAGTATCTGTATACACCGTCTCGGTCTTCCTGGCGTCTCCATCAGAAAGTATAAGGATACTACACTGGGCCAGCCGCCTGGAGCTTCCCGTCGTCGATGCTATCCCACGCCCGATCTCTGCCGCCCGTCTGGCAAACTCAGAGCGCGCCGGCCGACCACCCGCCGCCGGCACGTCTGCAGAGGTCGTCCTGGCCGTCGAGTTGGCCTGGAGACTCTGCCGTCCGCTGGCCTTGGACGAGGCGAGTCTCTTCTGCGCCTGGTTCAGGATCGAGCGGAACTCCGTCGTCCGGTCCTGGATGGGCGCGGGCGCTGCCATCGTGCCGTCTGCCTGTCTATCGTCTCCAAGATGCGTCTTTCCCGTCTGTATCTGTCTCTGCGATGTGTATGGTGTGTGCGTGTGCGTCTCTTCGAGGCTATGTGTATGTCGAGGTCGAGGGCCGCGGCGTTGGATGCTGGACGGGCCCTGGCGGCATGGGATGGGGGGGGTTGCGTTCCTGGCTGGGAGTCTCTTGCCGGCGGTTCCCTGTCCTCTCGTTCGCCTGTAACTTCTATCGTCTCTCCTCGTCGTTCTTCTTTATGTCTGCCTGTGAATGTTTTCTCTTCGTCTTCCTCTTCGTCGTCTTCAACTTCAACTTCACGTCGTCATCTGGTCCTCACGTGATCCTCTAACTCGCGACTCTCGCCTTCATGCAAATGCATGTCGTTAAAGTGACAAGTGACAAGTCATAAATACTCGGCCGCAGCGGTCAGGTTTATCTTCGTGCGGTTCTCCCGGGAGGGAGGCTGCCTCGACTCGTTTCTCTGACCAGCAACCCGCGGCATAACTACGGAGTACTTCGCTCGACCTGTGTGATCACCCAGAGGGAATAACTAGTTGGGCAAGCCATGGAGCGACAGACGCTTACTATCGAGGAGATGCAAAAGGGAAAGCAGCAGC